AAAAAAAAAAAAAAAAAAAAAAAAAAAAAAAAACACACACAAAAAAACCAAGACTTATAGGGAGCATCATTGTTTTGATGAATAGCAATATTTCTTAAATTCTATAATTTAAAGGGCCAATTAATTCCATATATTCTCAATAATGGGTTGTTTCTTTGCATTGTTAATTCCATCAATTTAAAAGTGTTTGAAGTGTTGACTGTGTGAATACACCTCTGCCATGATGTGTACTCAGCACTGATAGGAAAACTAACAGGGAGCTATGGTCTACTTCTGCTTTGTGAGTTCTAGTGATTAAAACTATGGTATCATTTGACTGCAAATGATCTCAATGGCACTTCTCTGGGTTTAAAAATTAGTTGTGAATGAGTTGTTGGAGGAGTGAGTATGTGTAACTGCTGGAGTAAACAAATACGAGAAAATTTGTAGAAGTATTATGCATAACCCAGAGATAGATCCCAGGTCATCAGACTTAGCAGCAACTAAATGAGGCAATTCTCTGGCATATAATTTTGGTTCTGACAAAGTGTTATAGATGAATGAACAAAATGAACAAAAGCCTTTAAAATAAACAAATTTTACTGTTGTAAATATTATTTCAAATTGAATTTGAGCACCAGTGAAATGACTCAGTGGGAAAGGACTGTTCTGTACAAGACTTGAAACCTAACATCAACCCCTAGAGAACATCAAGCTATGGTATTAGACATACAGTTGATTGCTGATTATCCTATATTATTACACCTATATCAGATAAATAAAATATTTGTTTGAATACACAGGAGGTATTTAATGTTTCTTACAATTTTTATCAGTCATTTTAACATTAACATTGTTAAATTCTCTTGAAAAACATCGCATATTGGGAGTTTATCATCTACCCTTGGACTTGTACTCAAGAGTAAGACAAATGAGGATCATGAGTTCAAATGTGTCCCTGAATCATTACTGACATCCAAGCTAGGATGTATAACAACAAAATCACAAGGGAATTTGTGAAAAGCTGAGAATCAAAACCAGGAAAAGAACCACTACACTTACATGAAAAGTATGATCAAACATGGCTTGATATTTCAATAACCAATAGGACAGTTATATGATGGGTACACAATTTTTATATATTACAAAAGAAAAATACCTACTACTAGGTATAGGCACAATATAAGATGAACAAAAGTCATAGAAAGAATATAAGGACTACAAAATAAACATTAGTAAATGGATTGGCTATACATATAGCACACTTTTGTTACTATCTCAAATGTTTCAAAATAGAAACCACGCTGCAATTATCTTCTCCCTCAGTCTTGAGTGAACATGGTACATAATTTATTTCTTTCAAGGCTATGATGAAAAATATTTTTTCTTGAAGTTAAGAGAACTGTGATAGCTAAAGTCATTAACAAATTCTTCTCATGAATAGGGATTTCTTCTTTATGAGTTTGCTCCTATTTCAGACTTCAAAGTGGAATACATAGACTTTAAAGTATTCACAGCACTGAAGTCATGGCTAGGTGACTAAGAAATGTTCATTCCCAGGAAGAAGGTCAAATTTTTAACAGCTTCCTGTAATTCCTGCTACAAGAAGATCCAAGGTATCAATTATCTCAAGATACATAACACACATTCCCAGAGACACACATACATCATAGAATTACAGTTAAAACAACTTTTTAGTCAAACAGTTTATCACTCATGAACATTTCCTCCTGTAAGCTTTTATTACTGTAAAAGGGAAGTTGAGGCATCTTATCGCTGACTTACAGAGATTTTATTCATCATGAATTGGTTCATGTAAAGAGAAAGCAAATTTAAGCTTGAAGAAAGAGAATTTAACCCTTCTAAGTTGGTGTTATCATTTGGGAAGATATAGGACAAGTTGTCCTGCTGAAAGAAATATGTCACTGAGGGTAGGCTATAAGAATTTACATCCATACACCAGTTCCAGTTCCCACTCTCTGCTTCATGCAGGAGATTAAGGATGTGAGTTCTTAAACTACTGCTTTAGGTGCCATGTCTGACACTTCTTCTAAGAGAGTTTCCCAGAAGAAATATCTGTTGGTGATCTGCTCCCTAAGGGAGTGTCCCATAAAAAGTGTCCACTGCTTCTGTTTTCTTCTGGGCTAAGTGCGTTTCTGAGCAGAGGTATCAGTTGTATCTAGACTCAACTTCACTATGGAGTTTCTCATTGACTCCGGTGAAAAGAGGTCTTCACAGAAACTCAATCCAGAGATTTACTTAAAATGGAAGAATCTAGGAGTATGACTGCCAGGGAGGAAAGGGGCAGCAGAGTACTGACTGAGCATATGGCTCACATAGGCCTTCTTAGAAGCAGAGGTCTTTTAAAAAGATTTTGAAGGTGGAAATTGGTTGGATTTTAATCCCTGATCTTGAACAAGCTCAGAGATGGACTGGATTTTGGCTCATGGATTGATTAGTTTTGTGCTCAGTTGGACAAGCGTAGAGTGTGTTTCCTTCACTGGCCCTATTTGACTTTTTGGCTTTGTTTTCAGGGTGATGTTTCTTTAAGTTGCTCTAGATTCAGGTAGAACGTGGTTTCCTTTGGATCTCATTTCAGAAGCAGGATGTGTTTCTTTGACTGGCTCTCTTACCCATGGGACTTCAGAAATTCATAATTAGGTTTTGTCCATCAGTTTGCTAGTGCAAACAAAATAAAGAGGTATCATAATGCTTGAAGAGATTATTGACACTATCAAATTTTTTTTTCTACAGAATAAATGCTATTGGTTAACTGACTGTAAGTGCATTGGCTTAAGAGCTTGAAAAATAATTTAGAAGAAGCCCTCAGTTTCTTCTTCAGGTAACAAAAGACTATTGTAATATGGAAAAGCTTTATCAGATTGATTACACACATAAAGTGCAAAACATTGCCACACTGATTTTATTTATAGAGTTTTATTGCAGTATGATTTTTCTTGTGATTTTGAAAGACTACACTTGATTTGAAGACTACACTCATGAAATTCATGGAGTTTCTTTCCAGGATGGTTTATTTTATATATTTGGAGATTTTTGTGACAAAGGATTTACCACATAGAATCCATTCATTGTTTCTCTCTGGTATGTGTACTTTTATGCATTTAAAGATGAATAAAACATGAAAAGGCTTTATTACACTGATCTCATTCATACTGTTTCTCTCCAGCATGTGTTCTTTTATGCCTTTGAAGATTCCTGTGAGCTGCAAAGGTCTTACTACACTGATTACATTCATAGGACTTCTCTCCAGCATGTGTTCTTTTATGCCTTTGAAGATTACTGTGGTCTGCAAAGGCTTTACCACATTGATTACATTCATAGGGTTTCTCTCTAGTATGTGTTCCTTTATGCCTTTTAAGATTCCTGTGACATGCAAAGGCCTTACCACACTCATTACATTCATAGGGTTTCTCTCCAGTGTGTGTTCTTTTATGCAATTGAAGATGACTGTGCTGTGCAAAGCCCTTACCACACTGATTACATTCATAAGGTTTCTCTCCCGTATGTGTTCTTTTATGCAATTGAAGATGACTGTGCTGTGCAAAGGCCTTACTGCACAGATTACATCCATAGGGTTTCTCTCCAGTATGTTTTCTTTTATGGTATTGAAGAGCACTATACTGTGCAAAGGCCTTCCCACACTGATTACATCCATAGGGTTTCTCTCCAGTGTGTGTTCTTTCATGGTATTGAAGAGCACTGTATTGTGCAAAGGCTTTACCACACTGATTACATCCATAGGGTTTTTCTCCAGTATGTGTTCTTTTATGCATTTGAAGACTATTTCGATATGCAAAGGCCTTCCCACACTGATTACATTTATAGGGTTTCTCTCCAGTATGTGTTCTTTTATGCATTTGAAGATAACTGTGCTGTGCAAAGGCCTTACCACACTGATTACATTCATAGGGCTTTTCTCCAGTGTGTGGTCTTTCATTCCATTTAAGGTAACTGTCATATGCCAAAAGTTTACAACACTGAATATATACGGAAAGATTCTCTCCAGTTTGAATTCTTTCAGTCCTGCAAGGATAATTGGCACATTTAAAAGCTTTACCACATTCAATACACTTTTGTATCTACACATTTGTATGAATTAGTTTTTCAATATATTCTAAATGTAAAGAGAAATCAGATACTGAGTTTTTATAACTGTGTTTAAGCTTATTTCTTGCTCTTTAATTAGGGGTTGTCTTGCAACTTTGAAGATACCTCTGGTGGTAAATTTCTTTCTTTCTTGACTTACCTTTTTACCTATACAGATTTTTTTTCTATATGATATTTTACACATATGTGAACAGATGTGGATAAACTCAGAGCTTTACCACCTCTTTTGCATTCATAAATTTTCCTATTCTGTTAATCATATTATATTTTCTATGTGAACTAGCACACCCAGAAGTATTTGCATAGTTCTAGAACTCATAGGGCTATTTTGCAGTGTTAGTTTGTTCATGTATTAACAATGATGGTAGAAAACCAATTACTTGTATACTTGAATCAAATTCCACAAGTATATTTTACATGGGGACGAATGCTGATCTCATTGTTCTTAGAGAGAAGTATGCTGCATCTCTCTATATCCCTATGCTCATTTGCATGTATCAAGAGTAATGTATGGTATACATAGTAAAGAAAAATAACAAATAAGTGATTTCCCCATTAAGTTCTTAGGATTTGACTTGCTGTTCCTCACAGACTTGTGGTATTTAGGAACTATGATTTCTCCACAACAACTGCCCCTTGACTCTCGACTCTAACTGATTCTCTCACTAAACTTAGCATGGTCACAAGAAGTATATGAGTAATACAAGATTTACTATGGGCTATTGGTTCAGTAGAAAAATTTTCAGATATACTTATCTTCTCTTCAGTGTGTATAAATTTTGTACTATGAGAAGTAAGAAACAAATGGATTTGGAGATCTACAACAAAGCTTTCATGATGCTATGCCTCAAATGGTGATATCTGTTTAGGTATTATTTCCTTGACTTCTTTCTTTAAAAAAAATGTCAAGCAAATGTCAATCACTTACATGAAATATGGATTTATGAGAATTTAATACTCATAAAAGCATTTAAAGTTGTGCTTATCTACACTGTTGCCTTTATCTAAAAATTCCAGGACACATTACAATTTTATCAGAGATATGTTTTAATTAGCTTGCACATGATAATTACCTTTCAAATCTTCTAAAATTTTGACAATGTTCTTCAGTATTATGATCTTCCCAAACGAATCCTAAAATATAACACCAGAAAATGTATATTATATTATTGAAAACTGTGCAATGTTTAAGCTATTATCTTAAGGGACCTTAGAACTATGACTTCTTTATTCACCTTCTTCTTCTTTCTAAGTCAAATTACAGAAGAACATTATTAACCAAGGAAAAGCTGTCCCCTTATTTTGAAACAAGAAGGAAATATATCTTTACCTACAGTAGTGAGGTTCCTGTAGGTCTCCAACATTACATCTTTGTAGAGATTCTTCTGAGAATGATCCAGCAAATTCCACTCTTCCAAAGTGAAGTTGATGTTCACATCATCATAGGTCACTGCCCTCTAAAATATTTCATTTATGTGTATAATAAAGAGCATAATGGTGACAACATTGTAAATGTATACTCCTTTGACAGCATAGTCATATAATTCTGGTGTTCCAAACTCTTATTCCATGACATAAACAATCACTTAAGAAGGAAATGGAGTAAGAGAGTCACTTTTGTCATTTCTGTGCCCTTTGAATGTGATATCACCTCACAAAAGATCAGTCAATTAACAGAGAGAGACAAGAAAACAGATCAACAGTACATAATGCACATCAGAAAATTTTATGAAGAATTACTAATTAAAAAAAGAAAAATACAATGGACAAACTGGGTGTATTGACTCATGCCTTTAAGCTCAGCACTCAGAAAGCACAGGTGGGTATATTTGTCTCTGAGTTGAATGCCAGTCAAGTCTATAGAATCATGCCCAGGACAAGCGGAAGTACACATTAAGACCCCGTCTCCATTACAAAAATCAGTTAAACAAACATCAGATAGAAAGAATTCGGAGGCTTTTACTGAAGTTATACAAAGAGTTATGCATTCATTCCAGTTCTGTATTCATGTATAATACCAATAACATTTTACTGATGAGTTCAAGAATAAAAATACAAAAATGTATGGGAAAAGCTTCTTCCAAACCTAAGACTCCCTTGGATCTTGTCCTTTCTCATTTTCAGGATTTTGAGGAGGCCACTGTAGTCTCTGCAGCACATGTGAAGCTGGAGGTTCCTCTGGGCCTCAGGCCCTTTTGAATCCTATTCTCTCACTTCTAGGATTTCAGGAATCTAACAGTAGATTTTGTCAGCCTTCCCTGCCCCTCTCTGCCTCAAAAGTCCAGGCTTCAGCAGGCTCCTGTCTGTGCTAGCACCTCTGGCAGCCAGCGATGGGACTGCCCCTCCCCCACAGGTACTGTGATTGGTCTCAGAACCAATGCCCAGAAGCAACCAGCAGGACTGAGGCAAGCAGGAAGGACTGAAAGGCCAGGTACCAAGGAAGGTCACTATCCACTTCTCCTGGATGATAATTGGTTTAGGCGTCACAAAATGACACCTGCTCCAAAGACACACAGCTGGAAACATCAGAGCATTGGATCTGTAGGAGCAGACCTACCAGGAAAGAGCAAATGGCCTGCAGTCCCTCCCCCACCTAAAAATTCAGCTAAAAAAGCTTAAGAAAATTTCATCTGGTTTAAATGCATAAACATGGCCACTAACTGTTTATTTCTAAATTTATGAGTTACTGGCTGCAACCCTTACTGACTGCCCAAGCTTAAAATTTACCTCTAAATGTTCTGGTTATTGAGTTTGATATATAATCGCTTTTTTTTTGCCTTCTCAGGACACAGTCTCAGTTTGGTACAAACTTGTTCTGCTATTACCCAAAGAATGGTTATCTTAATTTCTATACTAAACTTAACAAATATGATTAAAGGGTTTTATTTTGATACTAAAAAACTTCAATTGACTAAATCTGACAGGAATGTAATATAAAGTCCTGGTCTTACAACTGCTGCTAACATGTTACAGACTGTTAAGAAATACAAGAGTTAACTTACAAATGACAAGCTGTTTCTCATAGTCATCCTAAGTACTGATATGATTAACTGCAGAGATAAGCCTTACCTTGTTAGTCCCCTGTGTGCTTAGGGCAAATCCTGGTGGAAAGGGCTGTCTGTCTACTCAGATATAACTAATGGAAGACAGTCCTCAAATGCTTAGAGATCTGCAGAAAATCTACTGTTTTACTAGAAAGTTTTATTATAATGCCAGCTCTAGAGAGCTTCTCTATTTCCTCCAAAGAAGAGAGATGCACAGAGAAGATATCAACTCAAAACTGGCTCAAAAGTGGCAGCACTAGCCACTGAGCAAACCTGCCTTTCACCTCAACTACCGCAAAGACTCTCTTCATTAGGTGAAGAAAAAAGGACACTGGAAATCGATTGCCTCAAGTTTTCTAAGGCAAGAGGTAGGCCATTTCTCCCATGAGTCCTTACTCCACAGAAACCTATGGAATCTTCTGCGACCTTGTGAGCCTATCTTTGCCAGCCTAAAGATGAATGTTGCCCTATCACCTGCCCTCAAGGACCATGGAGGACCCTGGGGTAGCTGTCTAGGCAGACAGAAAGTGAGTCTCTGTTGTTTTTTTAAATAGATACCTCAGGTAAAATTTATTCCTCTCAGAACTCTGACGCTGTTTGATGACTAATAGCTTTGCCAGCTTAGAAGCAGCAACCAAGGCTTCAGCTGCCTTCTCAGTTCTCTGTAAGATTCAGGTCACAGGTCTTTCTCTCTTTGAGCCAATACAAAGTCTACACACAGTTCACCTTGCTACCAGACTCAGAGAGAGAGAGAGAGAGAGAGAGAGAGAGAGAGAGACCAAGAAACAGAGAGAAAGAGAGATGGGGAGAGACACATAGAGAGATAGAAAGAGAAAAAGACAGAGAGAGACAAAAAGACACACACACACACACACAGAGAGAGAGAGAGAGAGAGAGAGAGAGAGCAAACTCACAAAACACATTTTAGTGTAACTTCTTACCATTCGTTTGTTTAAAGGAACTTTACCATGACTGCTCTCAGTAGTCAGCGACCTGTACATACTAGTAAAGTAAATAAAAGTTGTTTTATGATACAAATCTTAAGATAGGAGGATCTAAAAGAGTTTGAGGATCCAAGAAAATATTTTAAAGTGTGAAAAAAAATGTGACTTAAGGTGTGTAAACAAGAAAGTTCCAGGGTACGAGAAAGTGACTTGAGATCTGTAAACGCAAGTTATAAAGGTCTGAGAACAAAAAGGTTTAAATGTTAAAAAAATATTTTAAAGTGTTTAAGAAAATAAAGCATGTTTCAGATTTCTCTCATTATGCTGCTGTAACATTTAAGACTTCAAAATTTTATAGTCTTAGCATTAATTGGAAAAATTCTAATAAGCTATTAACTGAGCTCTGGCAGAATACTACCACTGTCATCAGAGCCACAAGCTCAAGATTTCACATTTACTTTGGTATTTTCCTAACTACAGGCCTCAAAGATGCTTTCCATTGTCCAGAAATCTTTCACAGCTTTCTGGATATAAAAAAAAATAGTGTTTTCAACCAGATTCATTTCTGGCATGAGTATACTGGCACTTCCACAATGTAAATATCAGTAAAGATTATATACAAGAGGATGCTAATATGTCTAAAACTAATATCGTTCCATAAACTTAAAAATTCATGCAAGTTTCAGAGTACTGAAGAAGTCCTGAGACTTCAATCCACTTCTCACAGACCAAAAGGACTCCAGATAAGTACATCATAAGTTCCCTACCTGTCTGTTCCTAAGGATGTTTCTCTTCCTCTCCTGTTCTGAGACTGTGCTCCTTTCCTGAAAGCTTCAATTGTAAGGTTTCCTTTAAATTCCTCAATTTTAATGCTTGTCTCTGGTCTATATTTGTCCTAGCTGGGTTCCATTTGGCTGACAGACTCGTCTAGGCATCAGCTGCTGACTACAACCTATGACCCCAGAATTGCTAAAAGCTGACATGGACTGATTCAGTTGACAAGAATGCAGCTTGTCTCTCTCCAGCTGGGTCAGATCAGACCTTCCTGTTTAGTGCCCATTATTCCCTGTTTATCTTTGAGTGGCCTTCCAGCCTTCCTGGTCCCTAACATTTGATGCCTTGTTTCAGCTTGAAGCAGCTACAGAAAAGAATACATTTTCCCTGTCCCCAGACCAGGCTGAAAAAAAGGCCAAGTCAGAGACATTAATCAAAAATGAATCAAAGATTTGATTCTAGCTACAAATCAAAGGGGGAAATGAAGAGTCTAAGAATAAGAATACAAAAATGTAGATTCCAAAAATAAGAATATAGAAATATAAACTTGTAAGCCTAGGAGAATGAGAGCAGGCTGTCAGCAGTTTGCTCAGAAGCTTAAGGATTAGCTATTAACAATGGGATTTTTTGCTTTACAACCCATAACTCTATTTACAAGGCCAAAGCATCTCCCTGCAAACTGAGAACTAACCTACGGATATGAGGTGAGTCAACTTTTAGGAAATAGATATATGACCTCTGGGTTATGCATTATCCCTGCTATGGAAAACTGGCAGCCTAAAAGGGGAGAGCACAGGGCTTCAGTAAACACTGCCTAAAAGTACCAAGAGAGAGAGCAGATTACTAGTTTAACCAAAGACCTCTGTTAATAGAGACTGTAAAATAAGGCAATCTATATCTGAGTTTTACCTTGACATGTAAAAATTTCTTTGTTCAGACATAATGCTTGGTGCCCCTACTATAAAAAGATGGGTTCAGAGACCTGCCTTTTGCCACAGCCTAACAAACACCATCTCTGGCTGTGGTCTCAGCTAGCTGATAAGCTTTTTTTGCTCCATGGAGATTATTTATTTATTTTTTATTTTTATTTCTGGATTCTGATTTCTGGTTTCTTGAATAAAGTTTGCTTCTGGTTAATTCTTTCTTGTTTCCAAGCCCAACCATGATGGGTGATGCTGAAAAGTTTAATTTCTTAGTTGTGAAGGATACTAATGAACTTGGAACACAGGTGAAGAAGGTTTTGAATGAAGTAGCTTCCTGAGACTATTAATCATTTTGCTCATACCTTCCCTAAAGTGAAGGTTTATATGGATGAAGTCTTATCTCTAAGGCATCTTGATAAGCTTTCATTCCATAGCAATGGCCTTCTCTGTAATGGTAATAAGCATCTTGATAATTCTGGCTGTTTCACACAGGACTGAAACTACCTTTTCATTTTCAATTATTTCTGTCCCACTTGTTCCCTTTTCCACTGTACACCTGAATGAGTCATCACTGATAACCACTGAACAAATTCAATATTCCATTTAAGAAATTAATTCAGAATATTTTAATTCTGTCATACTAAATTTCCAGAGTGTAGGCAGAACAAGAAAAATCTTGGAGCCAAAATATCACACAAATGACCTCAGGATTAATTTTTCTTTTCTGGGGTTTATCTATTTCCAACTGAAATCCTATGATCTCAGTACCCAC